CTGCCTCCTCCAATATCATGAAACTCTTGCTGTCTCTTTCCTGAATGTGTTGTTTAAATTAGAGGATGCCCCACCACAGCTACCAAGCAAGAGGACCTCAAATGCTCACCATGCAACACACAACTTAACATGAAGGAAATCCCTAAAAATCTCTGGTGGTAAATAGACTGTGTTTCTACACCATTACGTACAGCAAGTCACACCACTGAAGGCTGCCGCTTCAGCAGCACAGAAATCAGCTCTTGTTGGTAAACTAAATAATCTGCGATAGAGCTACAGAATCACACTAGCTTCCCCAAGTTCAGCAACTAATCTATTCTCTTCTTCTCCTGAATCACAGGGCCTTGTTCATCTTTCTCCTGCCACCCAGGTCATCTGCGTCCAGTGCTCACACGGTGCTGAAGTCTTGCCCCACTGTCTCTGATTACACCACAGTACTTTGCTGAAGCCACAACGTTCAGGAGAGCATGACAACAGCCCCAAAACAACTGCAGCATCTACGTTGAAAGTCAGGCAAAAAAGACTCCACCCTCAAATGGGGAAAATAAAAGGCTGCCAAATGCTAGCATCAGTCTCTATAACAAGCAGGTGTTGCTCTACTGCAATTGCATGTGCAAAAAACCCCAGGTGCTTACAATTTAATTATGATGAACAATTAGATACCTGACAATTAGATGCCTTTAACTGAGAGGCAGCTCAGATTTTGGAGCAGCTTCTGAGCCCTTCTGACAAAACGAGTCCCACCCGCTCCCTCCTCACCTTGCATGGGACTTGACAGCATGACACATCACAGGATCTTCCACCTCTCCATCTCCTGACTCCATCCCAGCCATCAAGGCGGTTCATGCTTGCTTTTGACTCCAACACAGGAATGGTGAGCATGGTTCACTTCAAATCATATAAGGTGGCCTAGAATTAGCCCTGCTCTGGCCATGAGAGGGAGTCTCACAGGGGAACTACACTATGATACCTCCATCTGTACCCCTGAAGGTGACTGGCATATAATCCCTGCTTCTGCTCACCTTCGACATGGGAGACTGGCAGAGTAGAGGCTCGTGATCCCCTCCCTGTTCTGATACCTTAGGAAGGGGGCAGCCAGGAGATGTGCGCTTCCTCTCCACAGGAGACCTCTTGCCAGTCCTCCAGCATCTCTCAAAAGTCCACAATAGCTTTGCAGTGTCCTTTTGGAGAGGGGCTGCTAGGCTCACACACGGTACCTTTGCCCATGGCTTTCTGTCTGTTGTCACATTTTTAATCTGTGAAAACCCAGATCACTTGTCTTGCTTGTGACAGCATTTTAGGCGTTTTCTGCAATGGACACAGTCCCTGGCTTTCTTATGTCTGCGTTCACACAGGCAATTTCACAGGCAGGAATAAAGGAAAACCACTGGTCAAACGCAATCCCCCCCACCCTAAATCCCAAAAGGATCACACATTGGACATCAGGATACCTTGTGTAGACCACAGCCTGGAAGAGCCCAGGATGGCCCAGACCCAGCCTAGTGCAGAGCAAGAGGAGACAGCAGCAGAGCAGTTAGCAGGTGCAAAGGCAAGCTTGGAAAATCCAGTCACATCTGCCTGAAACACAGGCGTCTGCTATCAGGCAGACAGCAAACCGCTCCCCCACCCCCAAATCCCAAGTCACTTAATAGCTTATGGGACATGAACGACCTAAAAGCCCTTCAGTCTAGGGGCTAAAAGAACATCACATACAAAAATCACAGCATTTCACAATGCCTGTGACAACCCAATTGAGGCCTCATCGTCTTGAGGTGGTGAACCATTCTTTTTGGTCACTCCAAGCAGGCATATGCCTTTCTTAGCCTGGCAGGGATACTTTTATTTATATATAGTGCAAATGTAAAAGGAAAAAAAAAAATTCAACACACCACTTATCAGCCAAGCAGATGACTGCAGCCTAAAAGCACACAGATTCCAGCTCAGATGCCAATTCAGTTACTATTTCGCCCAGCTACAAAACTGTTTCAAACATGAAAACTTCCTTAAAAGGACCCTATCAAGGCATTTTTATATCACTTTTATTCACTGTTTGTTTGGAATAAACCCTCAGAAGACTGAATCCAGAATCTCAATTCTTATTAACCATTTCTATGCACACTAGCTTGTTCTTAGAGAATTTGTGTGTATTATCAATGGAAGTTACAGAGCATGCGCGCGCAGGACCAAGAGGAAGGGAAGGACAGGAAAACCAAGGATTAACCCTCAACTCATGGACAATCAAGTCCCCTCTTTGAAGGGGATTCCAATGAAAATTTTGGATAATCAAAGAACGCACCATGGGTTTCATGAATGACGACACAGATTGCACAACCAGACACACAGCCAGACTGCACTTCCATTTTTGAGCACAAATTTGGCAGTGTCTCCACAGAAATATTTCCCTTATTAAGGTCAACAGGCTGCAAAGCAGTTCTTCAGTGCAATCCTAAAAAGACCACAGCCCTATTTAAGAATTAGCAGTGTTGTAATTGCCAGGGATTTCCGCTGGAAGAGTTTGGAAGGAAACAGACATCTCCCTCGCTACACATTTTCGTACCATTAGACCCATCTCTTTCTTACACCCTGTTAAAAATGATGCCAACCATGACCCACTTGCACAAGAGCAAGCTTGGCAGCATGACTTTAAACACGCACACCTCCTGATCAACAAAGTCAGGAGAAAAAAAAAGTCTTCAGCTTCACGATTGCCATTCAGGGGCTCCTAAACAGTCTTTTATTCGTAGAGCAGATACACAGCAAAGAATATTTTAGATTAAATGCGGACATACTGGCCTCCCCAAGCCAAATGATGGTTCACATTTTTCATATGATCCAGGTCATAGCTGGGCTAGATTTAAGCATCATTCAAGACGACAAGGAGGTCTCTCAATTAATTGCAGCCTTTAATCACTCTTCAGCACTTCCACAGATCAGCCCTGCCTTTGAAGCACATCTGTCTTCTCAACATGCTCTTTCCCGAGCTAGACTCGCATAGTATTTGCGTTAAGACAGTCACCCCCTGCCCCAAGGCAGGGTGACTTGCGATGCTAAGCCCTGTACCCTTGGCAGCAAGGCCCGGCTTCTCCCCCAGAGAGCTTCGGAAACACTGCAACCCCCTTTCCACAGGCAGCATCACCCAGGTGGTATTCAGAGGTCTGGCACGTGAGCCCCTGCTCCTCCCATGCCCAGTGATGCACTGCTTACCTGCGCCTGGCTCCCAGGTGAGAGCGGTCCTTTCCTACCTCTAAGGAAACATATATGGCACAGCCAAATCCAAAGGAAAAGGTCCTTCAATTCCAATGCCCCCCTTATGCTTCTGGACCTGCTCTGACTGTCACCGGTCAGCAAAGATGCCAATCACCTGCAGACAGTCTGGTTCCTCTTCACATTTCACTTTTAAAGCATCATCCATTCACTGGGAAAAAAAGAGGGTCAGCCACAAAACATTCACCCCCCCCCAAAAAAAAGATATGTGACTGCAGACCTTAATTATTCACAAGAAAAAACCTTCAGTAGCCACCCACCACACCTGCACAGACAGTTTCCTGTCTTGGCTAATTTTGGTGGGGTTTTTTGGTTGGTTGGTTGGTTTTATATAGTTTTCTTCGGGGTTCTGTGCATTTTTTTTGGAAAGCAGATCACATTGCCAGCAGCAAGACCCAGCATGCAGATACCACCCAGCAACTCACACAGTGTGGGCTCACCCCCCCCAGTCCAACGGCTCTTACATAAGCCAGCACGGTTAGAGGGAGATAGAATCGACGGAGCCAGGACGCGAGCCGAGGAGCAAACAGCATCTCCTTATTCTCAGGGTCCAAAGGAAAAAAAAAAGAAAAAAAGAAAAATAACCCCCCAAACCACACCTTATTATTCACATTTGCCTACGAATGAATTCAGCGCCACTGCTTGCTTTAACTCAAATCATACTCCAGTGTCCCCACAATTTCAGGCTACCTTTAAATAAAGAATGTTCCAACATCCTTCCAACACGGGTGTACATGTGTGTGTGTATGTGTAAAAAATGCACATTTCTACAGCGCTGCTTACAGTCCAGAGCGTGTTTTGATTTCACACAGATTTACACACCAAAGCACCTTTCCCATGACCCCCGCAAGCCCCAGAGCAAACACAGCGGAGGAAGGACACAGGTTAGGAGGCAGTACCTGCATGCATAGAAAGTAAAACAGATGCTGCTGGAAAACACCACTGATAAAATCACAACTTTAGAGGTGACAGCTTTAAAAAGCACCACGACTAGTCACATTCTAGAGGAGAGAGATTATGCTTTTTTCATTAGATGAAAGGGGAGAGAGGAAGAAAAATAATTGCTCTCAAGAATAGCTCCAAAAGGCGCAGTCTGGGAATCACTTCTAGGTGAGACACTTAAACAAAGAAGATGGAGTATCCCTCTCTTCAGGGAGGAATGCTTCCTGCTGGAGACAGGGCTTGGATACGAGAAAGCCTTTTTTACACAGGGCTATGGATACCAACACACCCGTTGTCTACCAGCAGGAGCTTTCCTGCATTCAGAGGCTGCAGCACAGGCCGGGTTTTGGGGGTGGAGGGTTGAAGGGGGAGAGTGTCTATCTGTGTTTACAAATAGCCCCAAGGAAGAGGGAGCTGCAGGGTAAAGGGAATTAGGAAAAAAAAACGACAGTGCCATGTAAAGGAATCAAAACAAGGAGAAGGACAGGTCAGGGCCTTTTCAACAATGGCACTGCCAATGCTCGGGGCCAAAACCCAAAAAGCAGAGAGAAATGGCCGGGACAAAGGGGGATGCAACACCCCCCTCATCTCAGAATAGGGTTATTTTAAGCCTGTCTCCTTGGAGCTACCCTAATATTTTTTCTCATGACTCAAGTCACCAGGGAAGGGAGTTAGAGGAGGAGAAAGAAAAAAAAAAAAAAAAAGAGACAGAGCTAAGACTGACACAGTACAACCCCCTTCTAGAAGGGGCAAAGCCCCAGAAGGGATGAAAGGCAAGCTGGACTGTGCCTTACCTGGAAAAGTGTGTGGGTTGGGTGACCCTCTTTTAAGGCACTTTGAACAGAGGACGTGCACAGTGTAGTACAGGCCCGGCCATTCCTGGAGCAGGACATTCAGTTCTTCCACTAAAGGGGTAATAGCTTGCCAAGCTGTCCAGATATTTGGTAGGGACGCATGACTAGCGATAGAGAGAGTATCTGGCTGCAGAGCTCCCCTGGCAGGCCGGTAACTCACCACCACGGGCACCTTTCCCCGGTAGGCATAGATCTGGTATTTGCCATCTGACCGCTGAACCACGTGGCTGTTAATCTGGACACTGTAGCGTGCAAACAAGCCGGGTGGGAAAATGAATGGAAAGCTATATTCAATCTGCAGCTGCTCGACCACGAAGGACTGTCCGCTCAGATTGGCGCCGTTGATCCACGCCTCCGCATGGGGCACCTCATTTTTCACGTAGCAGGGAAACTTGTACCAAGCAGCCGCCCCATTTAGGGGCTTGCATTTGGGTTTGTTGACACAGTAACAGAGCCCCATCTTCTCCAGCAGCTCCAGGATGAGCTGCAGATCCTCCCGGCTCTGGACGTGGGGCTTAAGAAGGAGACGGATAACATGGGCAGGGAGGAGGCCATGCAGCAAGAAGCCCTCCACGTAATGATGGAGCTGAGTGGCCCTCAGTTCGTCAATGTGGGTGTCGCTGAGCAGCTTCTGGAGCAGCACGGTGGCATCCCGCTGGCAGAAGACGTTGAGGATGTCAATGAGCCGCGGCAGGTTGTGGAACACATACTCCCGCAAGGTGAGGTGCTCCTCGAAGTAGAGCAGCTTCCCACTCTCATGCAGGTAGGACAGGGCGCTCTGGAGCCGATCCTCTGTCAGGCCTGCCTGCAAGCCCAACCGGGCAGAGTCCCACCAGCTAAGCCACAGCTGCTGAGCTTGTGGCTGGAAGTGCAGCTCCTCCAGCACTTGCCAGGATTTGGGCAACACCCGGTGCAGGTTCGGGAAGATATCCCGGTGCTCAGCCACCGAGAGGAGCTTGTCCCGCAGGCGACGCACCTGGCAACGGTCTCGGCAGCTAAAAGGCAGTACTGGAGAGAGGATCTGTGGGCGGTGGTTGAGAAGGTACTGAAACTGGGCTTTCTTTCGCCGCAGGTTCTTGTCTGAGACCCCATAAAAGGCAGCGTGCGGGCTGGAGCAGCGCAGGTCAAAGTCCTGTCCAAGAGCCTCATCCACCTGCTGGACCAAGCTCTGGAGTCCCTCAGCATCCCTCTTTTCCTGCTGAGCGATCTGGTGATGGATGTCCAGGCACTTCTCTTCCAACTCCCGCTCCGCACAGAGGTCAGCATGGGTTCCCACCATGCACACCACAGCATGCGGCACCTTGGAACCAAGCCAGTGCAAGAAATAGCCCACAGAGGTGTAGAAGTGCTGAGGGACGTAGGCACTCAGATTCACTACCAGCACGTACAGGGCTCCGGGAGAGAGAAAGAAAGACTGGATCACATCGTAGCTTGGGTCCCCCGCCAGCTCGTACACAATGAACGTCAGGCCCCTCTCTGCATCCGCTGTCCAGTCCATCACCTCAATGCCCTTGCTGCCTCCTGGCAGTCCCAGTCCTGATGGTACTTGGGAGGCATCGGGCAGCGGCGATGGTACAGGGCACGGCGTTTCCCCTTTCACTCGGTGAGAGGGCACATGAGAAGGGACGTCCTGCCGCTCAACGGGGAGATGTTCCAACTGCTGCGTGGCAGGGACCCGTGCTGAGGAAGCATCCTGAGGCTCCGGGAAGGGGCAGCACCCAGCTGGCACTCTCCCAATGTCCTGCTGCTGCCCAGGGCACCCTCTGGGTTGGGTGTTCCCTGCCTCCAGACTTCCCACATCCTCCCTCTGCCCATCCTCCTCCATGAGGCATCGTCTTAGCAGGGTCTTCCCCGCATCCTTTAGGCCCATGAGGACCAGCTTGAGGCGGGGTTTGAGGGCAGGCTGGGAGTGGGCCAGCTCCTGCTGGTAGGCTGCGATGTAGGGGATGCCTTTCATGCATACCTCGTAGGGGGGCTGGATGAGGGGGTTGTCTTTGATCTTCCACAGGGTGACACGGGAGAGCTGCCCGAAGCCCTCGGGCAGGATGGCAATCTGGTTGCCTTGGAGGACCAGCTCCTCCAGGCTGTGGAGGAGCACAATGGAGTCAGGCAAGTAGCGGATGCGGTTGTTGTCCAGCCAGAGGGTGCGGAGCTGGCGGAGCTGGCAGAGGCGAGGGGGCAGCAGGGTGAGCTGGTTGCGGCTCAGGTAGAGCTCCTCCAGACTGGGCAGCGCCAAGATGGCGGCGGGGAACTCCCCCAGCAGATTGGAGGAGAGGTTCAGCATCTTGAGCCGCTGCAGGCTGCCGAAGCCAGCGGGAAGGGCCCGCAGCCGGTTGCCATCCAGCATGAGGCTCTCGAGGGCACTCAGCTGGCAGAGGCCCTCGGGCAGGGCCGCCAGCCCGGTGCCACTCAGCCAGAGGATCTTCAGGCGGCGGAGGGTGGCGATGCCCTCGGGCAGGGCCCCGAGGTGGCGGTTGCCGGAGCAGTCCAGCTCCTCCAGGGCGGCCAGCTCCAGCAGCGGGGCGGGGAA